ACACATCCGGCCCAAATTTGGCTTATGTTGTATGTCCGGGAAAGTCCAGCTCCAAAAAATAAGCGATGCACCTCCTACACTTAACAATTTAGTGTTTGGCATTGATCGGAGAAGCAAACATTTCCAAGAGAATGTACGATCGTATAATATGATGTTTTCTTTCACGTCGCTTGGTGGAAAAGTGCAGACATCTATTAATAACGGATCTGGTCCATACACATTTCTGTTACACGGACATAATTACCATCTACTGGGCAGTTTATTGCCGGAAGAAGGCACTAGGCCTAAGTTTGCCCAACTTTACATTTTCGACACAGAAAATGAGATTCAGAATCGAATTGATGCCGTCAGGTAAATTTTTCGGAATTATATTCCTGTTCTAAGGAATATAGAGCTTACAAATTATAATTACATTATTTTTTATTTGACAGGTCCGGAAATTAATCTAACAATCTTGACCCAGCCATCGTTGCATCGTTGAAAGATATGATTGACGGTAACAATGTACTTGCACATCATTACCGTGCTGTTCGAGATCGTTTTTCCAATGATGGCCATCAATGAGTAAAACTCAGATTGGTAAAGAGTCGCAGTACTGATGGCAGGACGTACAATCTTCCTAACACAAGTGAAATAGCAGGCTTGATCGTTGGTGACTTTGACACACAAGAGGGTATTAGGGATATTGTAGTTGAGACGCGCTCAAATAAGCTTCAACGAATCAGTGAGCTCCATCCTCTTTACTTGCCTCTACAGTATCCTCTTTTATTTCCTTACGGTGAAGATGGTTATCGAGACGATATCAGTTTGAGAGAATCTTCATTTGCTGATAATAGAAAACGAAGGAAGTTAAGCATGCGAGAATTCTTTGCATACCTAATTCAGAAATGGCATGGAGAACATTCGTTACTTTTGCATTCCAAGAAGTTATTTCAGCAGTTCTCTGTTGATGGATTTTCGATGGTTGAGTCACAGAGGTTGAATTTTATAAGGTTCAATCAGGATCAACTTAGGGTTGACATGTACAAGGGTATCGAAGAAAAGATTTTTAAAGGAGACACTGAGGGTAAATCAGTTGGACAACACATAATAATTCCAGGGTCGTTCACCGCAAGTCCAAGGTATATGTTTAACAACTTCGTTGATGCTCTTCAAATATGTAACTGGATTGGATTTCCAACCCTCTTCATCACCATCACATGCAATCCCCAATGGCCAGAAATACAAAGGGTGTTAAAAGATACAAATCTCAGGCCAGAGGATCGGCCAGACATTCTGTGTCGTGTGTTCAAAATGAAGCTCGATAGTATGATGACGGAAATCAAGAAGGGCCGTATATTCGGACGTATTAGAGCATGTGAGTATTTAATTAGATATCCATTTATAATTAAACATTTAATACGTTTATATAAATTAGATAATTTAGTATGTGCGAGTTTAACTACTTTTTGCTTCATTAACTAATCTAATTCATATTTTTTAATACCGTATGTTTACATTTTTTATGCAGATGTATGCACAATAGAATTTCAGAAACGAGGTCTACCGCATGCACATATTTTATTGTGGTTGCATAATGACGACAAGCCCAAGAATCCAGAAGAAATTGACAGGATCATATGTGCTGAAATTCCTGACGAAGAAAACGACAGAAAGATGTACCAGTTGGTGGAGAAGTATATGATACATGGACCGTGCGGTCAGGCGAATTTGAAATCTCCATGTATGAAAGATAGAGTTTGCACGAAGCGATTTCCAAAGCCGTTTGTGCAGCGCACTGAATCAGATGCAGATGGGTTTACAGTGTATAGGAGAAGGGAAGATGGCAGAACAGTTACGAAGAAGAAGACTACTCTTGATAATGGGTTTGTGGTCCCCTACAATCGTATATTGTTGAGTAAATACCTAGCTCACATTAATATCGAGCTATGCAACCAAAACAAGTCAATTAAATACCTGTTCAAATACGTAAACAAGGGGCATGACCGAGTCACAGCGGCATTTTATGAGACACGCAATACAGATGGCGGTGCTGAGATTCGTGATGAGATAAAGATGGACTACGACTGCAGATATCTTTCGACGTGTGAGGCAATGTGGAGGTTGTTTAACTTTGATATTCATTACAGAGACCCGTCCGTAATTAGGCTAAGCTTTCATCTCCCCGATCATCAGCCAATTGTCTTCAATGAACACCAGTCGTTACAAAGTGTGTTGGATAGGCCATCTACTAAGCAAACTATGTTCCTGGCGTGGTTTGAGGCCAACAAGAACTATCCACATGTAAGGGACTTGAGGTACGGAGATTTTCCACAACAATTTGTGTATAAAGAGGATTCTCGAACTTGGGTGCCAAGGAAAAAAGGATTTTCAATCGGTAGGATTGCGAATGTTCTCCCTGGAAAGGGGGAAGACTATTACCTTAGGTTGCTACTTAACATTCAAAGGGGATGCACGTGCTACGAGGACATCAGAAAAGTTTTTGACATCGTCTACCCTACGTTCAGGGATGCATGTTATGTGTTGGGTTTGCTAGATGACGACAAATAATACATAGATGCAATAAAAGAAGTGAATACTTGGGCATCGGGGGATTATATAAGAAGGTTATTTGCGGTTATGCTGCTTTCCAATAGCTTAAGTCGGCCCGAACATGTTTGGCAAAGTTGTTGGTTGGATTTGGCTGATGGTATTGCTTACAAACAACAACGTCTTCATAAAAATCCAGGTATGGCAATTTGTATGGCATTGTATTCAATTAGATTTTACGTATTAATCATTCTTTTAATATTGTCTCTGTACGATTTCAACTAGATGCACATAATTTATCCATTTTTTTATTGTTCAAGATTTACATATATCGGATGAAAGCTTGAAGAACTATACTCTCACCGAAATAGAAAAAATATTGCAAAGCAATGGTAGAAGCCTGCAAAATTAGGCGACTATGCCAGTTCCAATCGAATACTCATATGATGACACATAAAACATATTGGTGTTAGATGAACTGGATTACGACCGGTTTGAAATGGGTAGAGAACTTCAACAGTGTCTTGCTTCCATTACAGATGAGCAAAGAAAGGTTTATGATGTAGTCATGGATGCAGTAACCAATGACAGTGGTGGAATGTTCTTTCTATATGGCCATGGTGGAACGGGAAAGACGTTTCTATGGAAAACTCTTTCGGCTGCAGTTCGTTCGAATGGAGAGATTGTAATTAACGTTGCATCGAGTGGTATAGCATCGTTATTGCTCCCCGGTGGAAGAACAGCTCATTCTCGATTTGGACTACCCATAAATGTACATGAGAGTTCCACCTGCAGCATATCGCAACAAAGTCCACATGTAGAGTTGCTCATAAGGGCAAAACTTATTATATGGGACGAGGCTCCTATGATGCATAGATACTGTTTTGAAGCCCTTGACAAGACAATGAAGTCAATATTACAGGCTGACAAACCCTTTGGTGGTAAGGTGGTTGTTCTTGGAGGTGATTTTAGGCAGATTTTACCAGTTGTGCTCAGAGCATCAAGGCAGGACATAGTACATGCTACGATAAACTCCTCTCCGCTGTGGAATTTCTGTCGTGTCACGAAGTTGACTAAGAACATGCTATTGCAGTCATGTTCTTCTCCATCTAATGTGGATGAGATAAAAGAATTTGGAGACTGGATACTAAATGTTGGTAATGGGGATGTTGGGGAAGACAATGATGGTGAAGCTTCGATAGAGATTCCAGATGACATGTTGATTTGTGATTCATAAGATCCATTCAGAGACCTACTCGAATTCGTTTACTCGGATTTGTTGAGTAACATGTACGATCGAGATTATTTTCAAGGGAGGGCAATTCTTGCACCAACTAATGAATGCGTCGAGTCTGTGAACGATCACTTAATGTCTCTCCTTCCAGGAGAGGAGAAGGTGTACCTGAGCTCAGATAGTATGTGTAGGGACGAGCACACAACGGAGGATAATGTAGAAATTTATTCGACTGAATTCCTCAACACAATAAGATGCTCCGGAGTTCCTTCTCATGCGTTGAGGATCAAGGTTGGTGCACCCGTTATGCTAATAAGAAACATCGATCAAGCTAGAGGATTGTGCAACGGTACCAGACTCCAAATTATTTGAACTGGCATTCACGTTCTGAGTTGCAAAGTTCTTTCCGGAAAAAATATCGGTGACATGGTGTTCATTCCTCGGATGACTTTAATACCATCTAACTCCGGACTGCCAATTAAATTTCAGAGAAGACAATTTCCGTTGATTGTTTCTTTTGCAATGACGATAAATAAAAGCCAAGGTCAAACTCTTTCGCATGTTGGTTTGTATCTTCCTAGGCCTGTCTTCAGCCATGGTCAACTATATGTTGCAGTGTCCAGAGTTAAGAGCAGAGGTGGCATTAAGATATTCATCAAGTCGGATTCGGGTGAACTCACCAATGTTACTAGAAATGTCGTGTACAAGGAAGTATTTCATCGAATTTGAAGGTAGAAAATATTTTCATATTTATCATTTATTCATGTAACATGTTTTTTATTTTATTTTTAAAGAACTTATTCTTTTGCAGGTGTTTCTTATCTATATATTTTCCCCGGTGCGATGTTATTTTCAGTCATTTCCCTATTGTGCTAGGTGCAATTCTTATTATCTTTAAGATTTATTTTTGAAGATATACTAATATTTAATAGTATTCTTATATTATAACTATGGAGAACATGACACTTATAACATATTTTTATTATCCTTGGTCGATTACGTTATGTACTTAGATTATGTGACCGTAATAATTGTTATCTGCTTAAATTTATTTTTGAGACATGTATTTCAGTCAAAAACGGGTGAATACTAGTTTTAAAGAAAATTAAATATATTATTCTTCACGCCTTCCATGCTGCAGTGAAAGGGTAGAGAGAGAAAGAAGGAAGGAAGGAAGGAAGAAAGTGAGAATGGAAAGCGGAATGATATCTGTAGATAAATGGAGTTACGGCAGCCAGGCCTACTTCTTAACCCACCTCCACGCCGATCACACCGCCGGACTTTCCTCCACCTGGAACCGCGGCCCTCTCTTCTGCTCTCGCCTCACCGCCAAGCTCTTCCCCTGCAAATTCCCCTCCTTCAACCTCTTCCTCCTCCGCGTACTCGACATCGGCTCTTGGTTTTCTCTTTCCTTCACCTCCCCTTCTTCTGGCTCCCCCACCACTATCTATGTCAAAGCCATTGACGCTCAGCACTGCCCCGGTAATTGCCTCCCCACCCCCATTTTTTTTTTTTTTTTTTTTGTGTCCGGCAGGTGTTTGTTGTAATTCCTCACTGACATTTTATCAGTTACTTGGTGTTCCGTTTGTTGCATTATGATTTTCAATGTAGGCTTCTTACTTTCTGGTTGTCTGTTAGTGTTTTTTAATTCAGCAATGCCATTCTTATTCTTTGGTGCTAGATTGAATGAATTGTATTGGTTTGTCTCTATTTTTTCGGCATAAGAAAATTGGAAGCAGAATTCGAATACATGAACTCTGTTGGCTTAGCATAGTTTCAGCTATAACAATTCTCCATTGTTGAAAGGTTCAGATCTACGTCTTTACTTTCTGGTTTTGAGTGGCAATGTTAATCCGAGGGCTGGAGAAATGATTGTCAGCAGTTTGATTCTGTTGTATATGTATAATGTATTGACGAGCTAGTGTCAAGATATTCATTCATGTATAGTAGCCAAAATCTGTATCGAGCATAGAGTCAAAGAACATTTCTTACGAGTTGTGCAACTATCCTTTGTATACTGCCTTCCACTTGTCATTACAATATTATAATTCTTATATTTCATACAAATTATATTTATCCACTACGTAAGTTTTATTATCTTGCTTCTAGTATCTTCTTGAAACCTTATTTCTTCTCCTTTTTCATCGATCATCAAACAGGTTCTGTTATGTACTTGTTTCGTGGTGATTTTGGCTGTATGCTTTTCACTGGCGATTTTCGATGGGAAGTAACTGGTAGTGGAGTGGAAAATCGAAGGGCTATGTTACTTGATGCTCTCAAGAACGAGACACTTGATACTTTGCACCTCGATAATACTTATTGCAATCCAAAATACTCTTTTCCTTCCCGTGAAGTTGCTGCCAGAGAGGTATAAATTCTATGCCTCTGAATGTATTCTTTCCATTTATTAGCAAGTAAAATGTTAGAATCTAGTTGTCTATTAGTATTTATGCTGCCTGTTACAGTTAAATCTCGCACACGCAGATTAATATAGAAAGCTGTTAGGGATTTTCCACCTCACCCCCATAAGAGCAGTGGTTCTCTTGTTTCTCTTGCCCTCAGCGTACCATAAACATTTTAAAGGTTACAACACACGTTTTACTCATTATGTTTTTTGAAAAAATAGACCTGCAGATAGGTTGTCCGTAAATTTTTTGGTAAATTGTTGACGGTGTCTCTCTAAAATGAAAATTAGCTATAACTTCCTAAGACGAACTATACTTAGATTTCAGTAAGAGCAACTATGTTTCGTTAGCAGTAAGTCCTTTGGTTTTATCATTTTCATTTCTATAAATTGATTTTAAGCTTGTTGTGACATTTTCGCACTTGAGTTGTTAAAATTCCAAATCATAAACATAAAAACCTAATTCGTAACACGCTAAACACACATACAAGCATAATCTCTCGCCTTCCTTTATAACTTCCACCCAACTTTTCATGTTTTTTCTTTAGATTTTTAAATTGTAACAGTCCTTTTATCATATTCTTCACTTTCACCAATTATTATTTCTTTTTTCAGTAAAAATTTTCAGCAATTTTGCGTTGTGAATTGATGTTTTCTGGCACTTGTATGTGGTTTTTGTGGGATTGTTGGTTTATGCAATTGTTCTATTACAACTTGGGCTACAGTTTCTCAGGTTTTAACGTGGAAAATATTATCTTAAAAATGGAAATCAAATTAGATCTTCTAATTGGAAAATCGTAGAAAAAGGGTTTGGATACTTTTCTAGCAAATTCTGGTGGTTGTAGTGGTTGTGGTGATGATTTCTTTGATCTCTACGTTTTAGTTCGGGGCTTACCCTATTTAAAGCCAAACGGTCCAACCATCAATACTCACCACAGCCTTGGGCGGTGATGGAAGGCTGATTTTAGCGATATGATATCGTTTTCAGCCTTCAAAACTATGTTCTAGTAAGATCGAGTGGCATTATTAGGAAGTTTAATATGAAAATAAACTCGAACCATATTAATGTAAGCTAAATCTCAGTAAAAATAGCAAAGTAAGCCAACTCACAGTAAAGTAAGTTAGAAACTCAATAAAGTAAGCTATAATATCAGTTAAGTAAATTAGAGCCTTAGTAAAGTAGGAGGCTAAGATCTCAATAAAGCAAGCTTAACCTTATTGCAATAAGAAAAATTCAAGTAAAATCATGAAAATAAATAATACATGCAGAACCTCAGGTTAGTTTATTACCTCAGTTTGGTTAACCCAGTAAAACTAATTCAGTAAAGTTAACTCAGTGAAAGTTAACCCACCTTATTCCTAGGGCGAAGGACTTTTGACTACGAAAACAGCAAGGTTACTTTGTCAAAATAAAGAGCAAAGGACTTTAATCGAAACCACAATACACGTTCTCTTTATTCGTAAGAAAATTGCTGTTGGTGGGCTTTTAACTAATTGCCGTCGCTCTGAATGAAACTAAATTTCATAGCCTCATTCAGTTAAGATATTTAACGTGTAAAATACATAGTAATGCTGTGGTTTCAGTAGTTTGTGTGAAATCTAAAACGCGAAAGCTCTGGAGAGATGCCTTTGCTTCATAAGATTGATTGCTGATTACAGGTTGTTGATATCATTTCGTCTCATCCAAAACATGACGTTGTTATTGCGATAGATTCTTTGGGGAAAGAAGATCTTCTGCTCCACATATCACGTGAACTGGACATAAAGGTACACATACATCTTGCATCCTATTAAACACATTGAATAATCAATCCATCTGCTTATTGTCACTTGAAACTGACTACAATAACCAAAGAAATGGGAATTAAAAAAAAGAGAGGAGAATCTTGTTAAACGCTAATCAGGCTAATAATTAATATAACCAGTAATTCTATAATCCCCCCAGGCATTTCTGTAATTTAGATTACTCTTGGGACATTTCAGTAATTTAGACATTCCAGTACTTTATTTCAGTAATTTCAGGAATTTCTGTAATGCTATATTAATTACTGAACCAGTAATTAATATCATGGGATTCCGATACTGTAGTTTGGTTAAAATCATCGTTTTCTTCTTTGTTCGTGCCTATATCGACATAGTTTGGTATTCTTGAACTTCGTAATACTGCGTACGATCACCCTTCACTAATTGATCTCAATTTAAAACATTTTCATGTAAGAGTCAGAGTGCGTGGACATAAATTTCGATCTCATTTAGAACATGTTTCTTTTACTGAAAGGTGTAAACTTTTTGATTTCTTACAGATTTGGGTTTGGCCGGAGCGATTGCAGATCATGCATCTTCTCGGATTCCACGAGCATTTCACCACACAAACCTCTCTTACTAGAGTTCGGGCGGTCCCACGTTATAGTTTTAGCATCGAAACTCTCGAAGCGCTGAACACAATCCGCCCAACCATAGGGATAATGCCATCTGGACTTCCGTGGGCTACTGAACAAAATGGCAATCCTTTCAGCTCTTCCGAGTACATATTTGTAGTTCCATATTCCGATCACTCGTGCTTTTCTGAGATACAAGAATTCATCGAGCTTCTCCGACCAATCAAGATCAAAGGAATAGTATCTTCTTCTTCGTGTTGTATTGACCCTTGTTATTACTTTGACCACCTTTGTGGGACCCAGCAAGCAATCTGGAGGATTCAAGCGAAGATTGAAAATGATGAGGGAGTTGATACATCAGTTGAGGCTGCTGAAATAAAATCATCAGCAGCAAAAGAAACAAAAGAAGAAGAAGAAAGTTCGACTGTTGTAGGAAGGAAAAGAAGGCGTATTCTTGATCAGGTCGATTTTTTCGGTATACGTGTAAGTAGGGTTAGCTTGTTGAGGAGGCTGTGCCGTGGCGGCGTTAGACTTGCAGATACTGAATGAATTGGGAAATTATCTCTCAGTTGTAATTAACATCTCTCTTCCGCTTTAGAAATGTACAAATGGAAGAAGACTTGCTGATATATATATAATTAGTTCTAATTAAAATCATATGAGCTTTATGTAATTCTGCGACTGGTTCGTTTTATTTTCGTTGGAATCTATCCTTGGTAGATAGTCATGGTAGTCTTAATCAGAACTCGAAGTACAAATCATAAGGCGATATGTAAAATCGTAAAACTAAATATATTGTTGTGCTTGATTTGGAGAATTTGGTGCTAATACATATCATTTTTTTATCCAATTCCAACCATTTCACCGTACAGCTGACGAGCCCTTGTCTCGTTACCATTCTGCAAGTGTCCAGAAATCAATCTCTCGTACACATTCGGACTAGGAATAAATGATCGAGATTTCATTAACCCCAAATACTTCTCCGCGTCTTTTAATCTCCCGTGATTGCAAAAACTGACAATCACCGAACTAAATCCCAACGCATTGGGAGATATCGAACGGTATTCCATCTCAAACAAAAGCTTTGTGAGCCCCTCAACATCATCTTCTTTACCGTAACCACAAACAAGATGAGAATACGTATTTTCATCGGCAACAAATCCTTTATCCAACAAGATTGTCAATATCTCATCAGCTTCCTTCGTCTTTGCATTTTCACAAAGCTTCCCAAACATCTCATTTACAGACGAACAGCTCGGAACGAGACCCATACTCATCATTTTCTTACAAAATACAACCCCATCCTCGAATCTTCCGTACGAAGAAGAACAGCCTTTGATCAGATGATTAAACGTCTCGTCAAAAGGCTTTAAGCCCAAACTTTCCATCTCTTCGAACAGCCCGACTGCCTCATCAATTCTCCCCTCCTCGCAGTATGCACCGATGAACAAACTGCACACGAAAACATTCTCTTCAAAACCTCTCTTGAGCATTTCCTCGTATATTTCTTTAGCGTTATCCAAATTTCCCATCTTAACCTTGGCAAAGATAACCAACGAGTAAGAAATAGTATCCAAGATCATCGCTTTCTGCAAGATCCGTTTCAATAAAACCAATCCTTCTTCGATTTTGTCCTCCTCTATCATCCCATACACCAAACAAGTATTCACAATTAACCGAGGAATCGAACACCTCTTCCCGTGCATCCTATCCACAATTCTAAGAAACCTTTCCAATTTTCCTTCTTTGCATAAAGCACTAACCATGATTCTCGTCGTCATTTCATTCGGGCACATTCTTTCACTAATCATGTGCTCGTATACGCTCCAAACCAAACGGGACTTCTCCGATTTTATCATCACGTGTAGTATGGTATTGAAACTAATCACACTCAACGGAAAATCGTGACGAGACAACAACTTGCAAGCATCAAGAATATCATCAACCATTCTCAACTTAGCACAAGTTTGTATAAACAAGTCGAATACAAACGGAACCGATTCAACAATTGCATAACTATCAATCAATGATTCAAGAACATCGAGCATTCGAGAATCTCCATCGGAGAAGTCTTTGATTAAAACCGATTCGATCAACGCCTTGGCATCCTTGATTAGCCTAGCTTTCACCAAAATGTGGATTGTTAAGCAGTAAGTCGAAAGCCCGTGTTCGAAATTCATTTCTTTCCTCGACCAATGGAAGAAGTTGAGGGCTTTTCTTGAATTAATGGGTTCTTTGAGCTGCAAGAGTATGTTTTGAACTATTTGGTTGGTGAATTTGAGTGAGCTGAATTTTTCCGAAAGGGTTTTCCAGCTGCGGCGTTCGTGTAAAGAATCGATTAAGGAGGTGATGCTGCTGCTGCTGCTAGTGTTGCCATTGATTTCGGGTTTCGTTAATGTGTGAATTAACGGGAGAAATGGAATTGGAGTTTCTTTTCTGCGCGAAAAGATTCCAACGAAAGTAGCCATTTGAGGAGGTAGAAGAGAAAAGTTTCGTTAGGCCATCGAGCCGTCGGAAACCGGTTAAGCCGGACGGAAAGTTGATTTTCTGTGTATTAAGATGTTGACGACGATGGAGAATGATAAATTTTTTGGATGATGAGAGAAGTTGAGTGAGGCCTTTTGTCGAACAGATGGTGTGCAGAATACAAATGATTATTTAATATAGAGTAAATTCCGCATTCCCATTTTACCCTCTTCTACTCTTGATTGTATCGATTTGCCCGTGTATATGAAATTTGTCTCAATGTGGCCATCGTCGTTAGTTTTCTGACCTTTGATCTTAACACCGTTTGATCTAAATTTGAAAATTACAAAAAAACTACCCCTCCGAGTTTAAATATATTAAAAAAATTAAAAAAATAAAAATAAATTGTGGCTGACGTCGTGGACTATGTTTTCTCATTGTCTTGATTTTTTTTTAATAATTATTTAAACTAAGAGAGATGACGTTTTTGTAATTTCAGAGCTTAGATCAAACGGTTTTAAGGTCAAATGTCTGTCACTAACAGTGAAAGCCACATTGAGACAAATTTTCAAGTGCATGGGTAAATCGATACAATCGAGAATAGAAAGGATTAAAATGGTACCGAGCCAAAGTAAAAGGGGAAAGTGAAATTATCCATTAATATAAGATACTGAGGCATATTAAAAATAGAAGAAAATTGTTAGAAAGAATAAGCTAATAGCACAGACCCTTCTGTGTTATTTCTAATTGCTAAAATACACGCTCTGTTAAACCAATTAGCAAGAAGCCTCATGTGTTGTATATTTCAAAGCACACCGGTCCTTATTTGGAAATTTATTGTTGACTTACTCTTATAGAATAAATACTAAAAAAAGGGAAATAACAAAAAAGGCAAAGCATTTGTAGCAAAACTCAAAGTCTGAAAGTCCTCTTCTCCAACGCATTTCGCTGTTCATGCCTAACATCTCACCGCAATCAAAGTGGTGCCATCTGGTCGGTTCGAAAAACGCCTTCCTTGTTCGAACCTATTTCGAGCCAGACCACCACCCTTATATTTCGCAGGAATCGAAGTTGTATGGCTCGATTTGGCCGGAAAATGTATGCCCCCGTTAAATCTATATTGAACCAGCCCCTATATAGTCATAAGTAGCTTTGACCACAGATGGTAGCTTAATGTGGTACCGAGGATGGAGATGGACGAGTGCACGCGGAAAGATTGGGGGGGTGGGGGATCCCTCTAGAGTCACCACTGCCCGTATGCAGCCTGCCCTGCCCGCCCTTCCCGCCCCTTTTTCGTATTT